TGAATTAAAAAAACAAATTTATGGCGTTGGGGCACAAATTCGTTTACACTTCGGCATTTGAATCGATACCAACAGCACAGAATAATAAACAAATAGAATGCCCACTCTCCACAGAAAATTAAGTACGCGCATCTCCTTCGCGCATACGTTCCGCCATGTTTTAGGAGGATTTAAAGGGAACCAGTGTTGTTTATGTGGTGTGCATAGAAAAATTAACCAGGTTTAATTGACTTACGGCAATCATAGTGTAGCGTTTACGCTACTGACTAGTCCAATTTAAACCCCTCAAGAAATTTTTATTACCCGCCTACGATCGATTTTAAATCGACATTTTTCCCCACACGCGCAGTAGTCGCTTAAAAAGGAAGATTGATCGATTTTGTGCGGAAGCGAAGCGGTCAGTTTTGGTCAGAACTCTACGCAGCCACGTCAACCGGTGAAATTTTTCACCTTCAAAGTGACGGAATTGGAGCAAGGAAGATAATTTGGGGAAGAATATAAGTTCATAAATAATAATATAAATAAGTAATTTTTCTAATAAAATCAATACTAATCTAAGAGTTCCACATAAAAAGGAAGAGTTTTTTTGGCGTGCTGCGACTCCATGTAAGTAAATCATTTCATACGTATTATCTCTTTATCATATAATCAAATTTATCATTGTATTTAGTATTTCTTTAGAGATTTATTTTTGAGTTCCGAAATAATTTAAATATAAAATTTCCTTGATTTACTTGCAAAGAACAGAAGGTCATTTTTTTTATATAGTTAAACTTAAATTCTGTTTTAGTCCATGTCGTTATCATTAAGTTTTTTTGGTTCTTTTTTTTACCTAACTTTTTTGGTGGAATATAAAAGGTTCTACAAATGTGGTACAGCCTTCTGTATTCTGCGCATGTTCTTTTCATGGCGCAAGCCTGTCATATCTACGAAGTAACTTCGGAAATTCTGACATGTTGACATAACCTAATGTTTTGATGTTGTGTTTTGGTGAAGTTAATCCATGCTGCTACACTTTATATTACATATTTATTAAATTAAATAATCATTTTAGATTCCGTCACTTCACTTGAGAGGATTCTCTTGAGAATATTCCCTCAAGGATATTAGTAACTTTGAATCCTTAGAACTAGTTAGCAACTTGTGTATGTAACCCGTGGATTTTGCTGTCACCAGAGCCCAGTGACTGGTTGTGGCTTTTGTGCCCAGGATTCGTCTTTACAGCCATAAACTGATGTAGCCGTGCCAAGAGGAGTTTTTCCTATGGACTTATAGTGCTGTAAAGATAAGTTGTTTAACTATTTGACTTTTTGTATTACTATCTATTTACTGTTAACTCATCATATGCATATGATAAGGTGAATACCTTTGTGATAATTTAATTGTTGATATAATATAATTTTGATATTATTGGGAGAGAAGAAAATACCTTTCATGTTTTTATTAGGTTTTTTTTTAACTAAGGATGTAAAGGGTTTGACCAAACTCATTTTTTTGATATAATATTTTTTTTTTGATACAATACAATTTTGATTTTGGGAAGGGAAATAAATTTCATGTGGTTTTTTTTTAAACATTATATAAAGAGTATTGAAGACTCACTTTTTGGATCTAATATAATAATTGTAACAGATTTATCACTTTTGATATCTTTACAATATTGTCATTAGTATCTCATATTAGTAGAACTATTTTAAGTTAAATTACTACCTTTTTGTGTTAAGACTTAGGCTACCCTACGGACTATTCTTGGTTTATACTAATATTTCATATTTTATTTGGCCAGTGGTAGTGACTATTCGTTTGTTGAGGGGCTATTAGGTCCATTGTATGTGTACACCATCCACTACCACTGTTATTTGGCTTTGCATTATATGTAAATTGTTTATACACATATACCTATATACATTTTTTATAAATATATTTATTGTTGCTATTTTGAGTTTTATTTCAGTTCTACTAACCAGTATATAACATAGCAAAACAAGATTATTATTTAGTATTTTTGTATTTCAGAGTATTATCTCCAGATTCATTTGTTACTTCAAAATCTCAACTATCGTTGAGTTGGCGCCCTTCTTTTCTCTTCTTATTGTTCTCTTTCTATAAATTTATTCCCAGTGACCTTCTTCAGTTGTATCACGTTTGATATTACCAGGTCTCATTTCTTTCTTGTCTCATTAGCTCATTATCTCTTGTTATTGTTGTTTATATCTTTAAAGCCACAATCCAGTGCATTGAAGCTAGCCCGAACACTCACTTGAGATTTAGTGTCTCTTTGGCCATTTAAATTTGTTCCTCTGAGCTTAGCCCTATTTTAGTATTTTTTTTCATCACCTCTCTTTCAGTTCTTCTGGAATTTGGAAGTCTTACACTTCCTAAAATCCAATACTCCCGGAGTATTGAGGTTTCAATAGACATACTATACAATTATATTAACATTGTTAAATATAATAACATAAATATAATATAATTAAACATAAATATAAACAATTGCATAACCTCTCAAATCATATGTCTGTGGTTATTTATACTGTGTCTGTGTCCTCCTAAAACATGGCGCGCGAGCTGAAAAACTTCAAAGGCGGCATCTGAGAGTGGACCTTCTGATTGTTTATTATTCTGTGCCAACAGACTGTTATAATGTTATTTTAGCATCCCAGCTTCATCAGACAACTCGGGTTGATGCACATTCAAAATCAAAGTATCCGCCGTTTATGGATAATTAAAGTTCGTGCCGCCTTGTACATGCATAGAGTAACATCTATCTTTTTTTCGTGAGTTATTAACATTGTGAATGTTGTATATAATTTTAAGTTAATTTTGTAATCTTGAAGTTGACAAAATAAATAGTCAACGAGATATCGAACTTAAGAAAAAATGTAGTTACAATTTGAGCACTGATCCTTTTTTTAAAGACATTTTACAGACTTGGAAAGGTACCCTTCAAGCCCATCAGAGGTCTCGATGACTTCAGAGTCCTGTAGTCAGCTTTAGTCAGCTTTAGTAAAACGTGTTGCTATAATAAATTTCGATGTAGCGAAGAAACCTGGGTTTACCAGGGTTAAAAATGTCTATCGAGTATTGGGAGAGCTTATATCTAGTCCAGCTACCAAATCACGAAGAACTTGTATAATAATCAAAAGACGTGGCATATTAAAATACTGCCATTGATACATTTCTGTTCCAGGGATTTGACGACAATAAAAAATGCAGATCACATAATGAGGATATCTGCAAAAGGCAATTATCGTATTGACATATCTAGGAAATATAGAATGCATCAGGCTATGTGTTTCTCGTATTTTCGCGTATTTTCTTGAAAAATACGCTTGATTGATTGGCTTTAATATAAGCTTTAGTGTGTATGGTTCGTTGAAATATATATTCATTGTTAAAGTATATAATATAAAATATGTTACTTGTTAATTAATTGCGGTAACTTAATGACCGTGAAACCACTCACGATAAATAATACTCTTATCTCAATATCTTATAGATAAAACACATATGTTAACAACCTGAACCTTCAAAAATATAAAAATTAAAACAGAAATAACTATTACTAACAGCAATAACTATCAATATGAGAATCCACATGTGTTCTTCTAATATGACGAGCAATATAAAATTATGTGAGTAATAGGTATCACGATATAGATTTTTGGGATCATCGTTTACATGAATCATTATTTTACAGTTTTTGAAAACTACCTGGTGACTTTAATCATAAAGTATCCATCCACTAGACATGTACAAGTGTACAAGCTGGTAAAAGGTCCAAAATTCTGCAATTAGTCTTATGAATAGAGGGTCAATAAGCCAATTGGCTACAGTACGATCGGTTTAAACTAGGACTTTCGAAAAAAAAAAAAAAAAAAAATTATAATTAAATCACTTTTATCAGGAGAAATGATTTTGATCGAGCTAATTTGTCAGGTATGTGTAATACAAAATCAAATCAACAATTTTATAATAGAAAAAGAGGACATTAAGAAACAACAAGTTCTTCTGTCAGACTGTGTATAACTGCAAGTAAAACAAAAAAATTTGGAACTTTGTTTTTGAAAAGTAATTTTCATGATGAATACCAAGGGACTGACCTTGTTAGGTTTCGAAGGCGACGCCTTATATTTCCAAAATTGGCATTATTGCCATATGTTCCTACATTTTTCCATGCTTTTTATAAAAACTTAAAGCATACTAGTAATTGTAATAGTGACTATCCAGAAGTGACTTACTTGAGGATGACTGAGTGGTTTGTACCCAAGATACCATTTTGGTTAAATACATAGATGTATTGTTTGTATTTATAAAGGTAAATTGTGTAGTTAAATAAAATTTTTAAGTCAAATAGTACTGTAGTTGTTATTGAATACTCCATACTAATTCTTACAGTACAATAACTTTTAAAGGGATATAACACCATGTCTATTAAAAGCTCGTTAAAAAACACAAGATATTTTTTTTATTACACAAGATATTAACAAATACATTACGTAAATAACAATAGATAAAATGTTCAATTAAAATATTGTTGGTGTTAAACGTATTAACACCTTTTGGTGAAAAAAAGTTTCAAACTGCTCTCATGTAGAGTTATGAAAATGGACATAGTGTTATCCTTCCGAGGTACAGATATATAATGTTTAATTTTTAACCATTTAAATCCTTCATATTCATCAAAGTGAATGAATTAATTTGTAATCTCGAGCACAAATTTGTTTGTCTTAGTTTTATCTAAATATAAACATTCTCAGTTATGATATATTTTTAGAATGGCTTGAAAAAGGAAATAAAATTTTCAAAAGCTCGACCAAGTTCAAAGAGGGCTACTTATATTAGTCTAAATCAATTGACAGCATTCCCAATATATATATATATATATATATATATATATATATATATATATATATATATATATATATATATATATATATATAATGTACGTAATACTTCAACGTTAATTATAAATTATTTATACATTCTTTATGACTTACCTACAGCTAATATTAAAAATAGAGGTAAAGGATTCATTTTGCACTATATATGCTAACTCAGTGTTGACTTTTTATAGGAAAAACTATTTTTATCTTGAGTATTTGATTAGAATTATCTATATATTGTGGCATGTGTCTAAGTGCATAATTTTATATTAAAAAAATAAATTTTTTAAATATCTTAAAGTTATCTTACTTGATTATAAATGATATAAATAGACTTGGTAAAAATTTTAATATATATACAGGGTGGTCCTTAAGTAATTGTACAAAAAGAAACCACAGATTGTATACTTTAAAATATTACGATTTAAGCCAACTTGCTTTAATAAAATCTTGATATTAAAAAAGATACAAAGTGGAAATTTAAAATTTTATTTTTCGCTATAACTTTTATGTTTGTAAACATTTATATACAAAAATTTACAGCTGGATACTATTTAATATCTGGAATTATAATTTGATGAACACTTTGATATAGCTAATAGAGGGCGCCACATGTGCCACATACGTGGCATAAATTTGCACTTAACTTTTTTGTTCTTTAAGCTACCGGTATTTAAAATAAAAAATATTAAAGACACATTATTTTAACAAAAAAAAGGTATACTTGTTAATAACTTCAAAACTTTCAAAATTTTTTCGAGATAATCGCATTTTACAAATCAACTGCATAATTCTGATTTAACGCAATTACTCCAGGCAATAAAAGAAAAATAGATAAAAACATCAATACTTCTGAATTTTGTTATAAAATACTTTAATAAAGTCAATAATTAACGAAATATTAAATAAAATAAATATATCAGCAGGATAATTAATAATAGGATTTGATAAAATAACAGAAAACATTAAACTTTTTGTCAAAGTAAGTGTTCACTATGTCCACCATTTTCTTTAATTCATTTGTCAATACATTCCATAAAATATCGTCTCATATTAAATAGCGTCATTTCTTCTAAATAAACTGCTGCAGTATTTATTATAAGTGTTATAAGTATAATAATAAGTAATTTTTTGAAATGTTTATAAGTTAAATAATTATATTAATATCTCACCAGAAGAATATGACTACCATGAACAATCCAACGTTCAAGAAAGTTTAAAGAAGTATTTAAATACTGTCTCACTCCGCTTTTTCTGTAATGTAATGGTGTACCATCTTGTAGAAACCACATATTTCGCCTTAAGTTTGATGACAATTCTTCCAATAAATCTATAAAATCATTTTGTAAAGAATGTAAATAAATCTCACCACCCAAATTGAAAGGTAATTCGCATATCCGTAAAACATCATTCAAAATTGATATTTAAAATGCATGTCCTATGGTTTGGAACCATTGATAATTATTTTTTACGGATATGCGAATTATCTTGCAATTTGAATAATGAGATTTATTTACATTTTTTATAAAATGATTTTAAATCATTTCCTGAACGTTGGATTGTTCATGGTAGTTTTGTTCTTGTGGTGAGATATTAATATAATTATTTAATTCATAAACATTTAAAAAAATTATTTATTATTATACTCATAACACTTATAATAAATACTGCAGCAGTTTCTTCAGAACCAATGACGCTATTTAATATGAGACGAAATTTTATGGAATGTATTGACAAATGAATTAAAGAAAATGATGGACATAGTGAACACTTACTTTGACAAAAAGTTTAATTTTATTTACTTTAACTATTTCTTAATTTGGTTTGTAAATAAAATGTTTAATTATGACTTTAATTTAATACAAAATGTAAAATGTTTGATGTAAAATCCAATTATTCTGTTATTTATCAAATCCTATTATTTTATTCTGCTGATATATTTATTTTATTTAATAATTTATTAACTATTAACTTTATTAAAGGTATTTTATACCAAAATTCAGAAGTATTAATGTTTTTCTTTAATTTTCTTTCGTTGCCTGGAGTAATTGCGATAAATCAGAATTATGTAGTTGATTTCTAAATTGCGATTATCTCGAAAACTGTTGAGTTTTAAAGATATTAACAAGTATACCTTTTTTTTGTTAAAATAAAGTATCTTTAATATTTTTTATTAAAAATATCGGTAACTTAAAGAGCAAAAAAGTTACGTGCAAATGTATGCCACATATGTGGCATATGTGGCGCCCTCTATCAGCTACATCAAAGTATACATCAAATTATAATTTCTGATATTTAATAGTACCCAGTTGTAAATTTTTATACATAAATGTTGACAAACATAAAGTTATAGCGAAAAATAAAATTTTAAATTTCCACTTTAACACCCTGTATCTTTCTTAATATCAACATTTTATTAAAGCAACTTGACTTAAATCGTAATATTTTAAAGTGTAGAATCTACGGCTTCTTTTTGTACAATTACTTAAGGACCACCCTGTATATATATATATATATATATATATATATATATATATATATATATATATATATATATAAAATATATAAAAGTGTTTTTGATGGGTTGGAGTCAATAAAAGGGGCTATTTGTTGACTATTTTTTACTCGAGCTTTCAATTGTGATTACAATTTTTATCAAGAGCTTCTAAAAAATACAAAATATCTTACAAAGTTGAACTAGAAATAAAAAATTTTTTGTTAACTCACCAAATAAAATTAGTTTTTTATATAAAACTACTGCTTACATATTAAATACAAAAAATATTAATAAAAAAATGTCTTATTCTAATAAATGTTTCTCTGAAAAATTTTGATGAAGTTTCTTAAGAAAAAAATTGAATTTGTAAACAAAAATAGAATAGCTACAAACCAGCCTAAATGTCATAAATACTAACTTAAAAATTTTTATTTTTGACATATTGTCAAAAATAAAATTTTGTTTAAAAAATTCTTCTTTGTTTAGTAACAAAAAAGAAGAAGATTTATTCACCATTGATAGATGCCCGAAAAAATGTAACAAATACATGGAAAATTCAAAATGTGATATTTTACTGACTGCATATATAAATTAAATAGAAATTATATAATTATAAATTTTGCTTAAATTTTGAATTTCTGACCTTTTGTTTAAATTATTATCACTTTTGCTAATACAAACCATTTCCAAAAAAGTTCTTTTAAATTTATTACTTTCATTACATAAAATTTTAATATTATCAAAATCCATAATATGGTCTTTGTCTATTACATGCTCTGCTAAAGCACAAGATGGTTTCTTAATTCTACAATCACTCTTGTGAGAAATAATGCGATTTGAGAGATTTCTTCCAGTCACACCAATATACTCAGCTTCACACTGAGTACTAACAATGCTGTATACTACATTTGTTTGTTCTAATTTGTCTATAGGATATTTAGTTTTGGAATATAAAGATGAAATAGTTTTGATGTTCTTTGTTGCTATTTTTATATTGTCAATAACCTTTAATTATTTTTAATTTATTTCATCTTTATCACCAAACGAGTCACAAGTACTTCTTTTTTCTTACTCTTACTCACGAAAAAATGAGCGCTGAGATCAAATTTTAATTAAAATTAATTTAGTTGTTTTGGCAAAATTAAGCCTATGGCATATTAAATCAATTAAACATATAAATGGTCCACATTTGCAAATCACAATAACTGTCGTCCCAACGTGTGTAGCAATCTAAAAAGTATTGAGTTGTATTTGAAAAGAAAGGCAATTGGAAAAGAAATTCACAGGTGGTTGAGAATTGATTGGTCGAGTGAAGAAAATTTTAATACATTTTTGATACATTCCATTTCTATGATATTTGATTTTTATCGATATTTACAATTTATAATAATTTTATTGGCATTTGATAGCATTTTGTAAACATTTTTATTTTTTTTTGACAATTCATATTTGTGTGACGGAAAAATTTATCGTATGTGAAACAAATCGATTAAATTTTTTACATCTGGCGGGGAGATTTCATAAAGTAAAAGTTCGTATTTAGCGGGGAAGAAGATATAAAAAATGTAGAACAAAATGTATGGTACAGGGAATAAAAGCAAAGAAAACCGAAAGACAAGAAGAAGTTATAGAACAAGAAGAAATATTAGAAACATCAATGGTATAGACAGAAAGTGAGGAATTATCAGGAATATAGAAGATTTTACAACTAATGCAATTGAATCAACAAAAAAATAAATGAAACAAAAAAAGCAATGAAAAAAAAAGAAGCGAACAAAAAAGGCAATAGAAAAAAAGAACAGAAATATAGAGAGTATTAAGATGCAAATGGTACAGACAATCGAGGAGATTTTACACAAAGCAATCAATAGGAAATAGAGATGAAAGGAGTTTAAAAAACATATGAAGGAAATCCAAAATGTTCAGATAGAAAAATTAGAAGATTTGGAAATTAAAATGGAAAATGTTATTCATGAGGAGATGAAAGAAGCAGAAAAAAGATTTAAACAGAATGAAAAACGAATTGCGGAAATTAAGATGCAAAAAATTGTCGTAGAAAGGAAGGAGATACTTATCCATAGTACAGGTGACGTTAAAATCTAATTTGGAGGAGATATGAGAAAATTGCACCTGGTTCCATTTATCAAAAATTTAAGAAAACAATTACAATATATGGAAAATGTCGAAGCGTGTAAAAAAACTATCAGAAACCATCTCAAAGATGAAGTGAGCCTATGGTTTGACACTAAAGAAAAGGAATTTAATAGTTAAGAAAATTTTGAAAAAAAGATTTTTAAATAATTTTTGGGGCAAAATCCAGCAACTTGAAATTAACAAGGAACTGCAGAACGGGAGATAAAACGATAAACAAGGAATATCAGAGAAAATCTATGCATTAGAGATCTACAACAACGCCAAACATTTGTAATATAATTATTCATCAGAAAATTGGTAGAACTAATTGCTAGACATTTCGAAGAAACTTAAGAAGATTATATTCTTCTTCTTCGCGTGCCATATCAGAATTATCCGACGTTGGCGATTACCATTGCGAAGGCTTCTCGATCTTCTGCAATATGGAACAATTGTCCTGCATTTGGTATCTGAGTCCATTCACGAATATTTTTTAACCAAGAAACTTGTTTTTTTCCTACACCTCTACGG